GTTGACATACAAGCAATTTTGAAGATTTGATTGGATTGATTTATCTTTCAAACTCAATTTGCTTGCTGCTACACCATATTGAGTTTGAGGGAGGGTGTTAAAGATATGGAAATAATAATCTCTATGATATTTTTTCAATAGTATAGGATTATTTTCCTTAATAGTTGATTGTATCATTATTATGCAATCTTTCCTTTTAGAGTTATTTATAGCCTTATAAATATGGTCTTTTACTTTGTAATAGAAACAGGTTTATTATATACAATTTATAATATTCTTCACACAAATTATATTTCTTAGATCAGGGAACCTTCTTTTAGGTCAATATACAATTTATTAGTTGATTTCTGCAAGATATTTTTGTATAGATTGATATTCTTAACTGTTATTTCATGAGCACATGCCCTTGGGGAAACATCAAGGGAATGATCCCATAGAAAAAAAAAGTTATAATTTGCTTGGCGAATCATCTATTACATGCTTACAATCCTAAATAACTTACAGCATCTATTGTTTTTATATACTCTGACAGATTCCCACGACTTCCTAATGCCATCTTCAAGTACAGCTGTTTGCTTTTGAATGTACTGCAAGAACAAAGAAAAAGGGATCTGTAGATATTAGTAAAAAGTAAAAAAATTTAATTCATAGACAACCAAAATTGAGAGATTAAAACACATTTGTTATATTATGTTTCAATAGCATGTGGCTACCAGGAATCTGTTTCCCTCCCCATTCTAAATCCCGTCTTAATAAAAAATGTTAAGACAAAAGGTGAGCAAATGAGAGGGGCAATAGGAATCCCACTGGCATGTAAAGCAAAAACCTCTTCAAGATTTAGGTATTTTGCCTTTTGGAATGATCCTTGAAGATCATTCGATTGTATTCAATCTAGATTCTTGCTAACGCTACATATAATCTTACTTAGGGTGTGTTTGAGCCACATTATTTTGAAATAGTAGATTGATGGAGAATGAGTTGAAATATATTACAAACTTAGTGACAAACTTGTAATCTTTATTATTGTTAGGGACTAGAGTGCAAACCTTTTATTCTTGTATATATTTCTTTGTTTACATTAAATAAAATACATAATTTTCCCCCCAAAATCGCGACTTGGTATCGAGCACAGTAACCCTAGGTGCCGGCGACCTCCTTCCCGTTACCCGGAAGCCGCGACAACGCTACCGTGTCTGCACAGTACCGGCGACCCTTATTCCATTTTTTTTTGGACCGTTGCATGTTACCCAGCCTGATTTCAGCCTTGTTTCCTATTACCCAGACGCAGAGGATGTCGCCTCTGCATTTGAACAGCTCCGGTGCTGACGTCACGACTGTTCCGTCGCCTTTCTGTGTTTTTTCTGCCTTCCAGTTGCAGCTTCCATTTTCCTCAGGTGTTTTCTCGGCCATTTCAATTTTCTTCTTGGTTTTGCTTGACCAATCTCTGTCAGTAGCTCCGGCCACTTCCCTTTTTGCTTTTAATGACATGTTCAGATTTAGAGGCTACTGAGAGCATTTCAGGAAGCATGTGTTATCTCTGTGGTCGAAGAGCTTACTGAACATCTAGCTCGATGGAGCTATTCTATTGCCTTCTTTGAATTGTCTTTTGTTCCTTCTGTTCGATTGCATAACTTTTGTAAATCAACAAAAGTTGAGAGGTTTCGTCAAGAATTGAGGAAACTTATTCATCAGATCAACGCCAATTCTGAATTTACAAATAAGAAAAGGGCAACAATTGTATTGATTTGGACCCCCTGTATAAGCTGGTTCTCGTTTATTCAGTCGTTCCATTTTGGGTTTCTTGAGGCTGTGTACTGGATTCAGTAGTTGAAGGTTGAATTTGAATTGTTTGCATTTGGTGGTTCACGAGCGCTCTAGTTCTTTTTCAGCAATCTATTATTGAAATAATGGCCAATAACAAAGTGGTTACACCGGTAATTCATGGGACATCGGAGAAGGCTATGCATTCATCCGTTGCGTCTACTCATGCACCTACATCTACTAGTTCCCATGTTGCTCGTTCATCTCCTGGGGAAGGTATCTTTGGTTTGCAATCTACTTCTACTGTATCCGATTTTTGGGTTATAGATTCTAGAACTACCGATCATTTTACCCATGATCCCTCTACATTTGATTCCTTAACAACGTCGCATGTTTAGTCTGTTCAAATGGCTAATGGGACTTCTGTCAAAATTTCTGGGGCAGGGAGTGTCTCGTTTTCACCTACTTTCTCTCTCTCATCCGTTTTGCTTGCAC